GATGTGATGTCGGTAAGTAGTATACTATTGACGTCACTGTATTTACTTCCTGTTACACGCATATCTTTGCGTCATACCACGATATTCTAAATACACCAAATATGGAACTAAGAAGTAGAATTTAGTAAGTTATTAACATCAATTAAAATCATATTTGATTATTTTTACAACTGTATGAAATTGTAAACACTAAATCATTGATTTTCCGTCATTGACGTCCGATGTAATATGCAACGTCGGCTGAGGCTATTTATATATATATATTTAGAGATAAGTAGCTATTGAAATCACGGAGAAGCTATCAACATTAAATTTTACAGAACAGGCTTATAACCTTTTTTTTTTTTTTTTCAAACTAACCCAGTTAGGATAGGAGATATTTTGTTTTTACTTTTATTTGTTTTTGTACACAATGTAAATGTAAAACCTGGAAGCAGACACGGATTTTCACAACTCTGTCGGCTTTATCCATGCCATATTTACCAGTGCAAAAGATAAAAAATATGTCGGGCAGTAATGAGAAACCAAAAATAATTCTTACATGTGGCCAAATCTTATGTTTATTAATATTTTCTTGTAAATCGCATAAGCAGAGTGGTTTATTTTTGCGTTATTTTCTCGTGCCGGCTGTATGTAGTCGATGGGTATACTAAAATGTCGTCAGATATTTGGGAAAAGTGCATCATTTGTGGTACAGCTGGCAGTGAACTGAGATGTCCTGGAAAATGAAACAACCCTCAACCGCATGGATGTTATGAAGATTTCCTAAGATGTATGAAAGGTTTTGAGGAGTTAGTGAAGTTACCTTTCAATTTACAGAACTCTGACTAACGCTTCACAGTTGTTGAAGAATCAAGCAAAATGGCATAAAGGCATGTCGTCTGAAATATGCATCGTCAAACCTTGGCAGATTACAAGAGAGGAAACAAGAGAGCTCGAGAAAACATGTGTGAGACCCTCGAGAGAAAATCAAAACGACCACGTGAATCACGTCAGATCTGTGATGAACGATGTATATTCTGTCAAGAATCAGAGGGTTTGTTACACAGGTGCTCTACTTTATCGCTAGATGCCAATGTCAGGAATATGGCAACAGACATCCAGGCCACTGATTTGTTGTCAAGGATTGCAGGTGGAGACCTCATTGCAATCGAGGCCATGTATCACAATGCATGTCTGAGGATTTACAAAAATAAACACAGGGCGTTAATAAGGGAACAGAACAGCCTTGAATCCGATGATTCACATCAGATGAAGGGATCTCAGGTCTTTGCAGAGTTGGTCTCCTACATAGAAGCCTCTGTTGAAGACAGAGCTATATACACTGTATTCTGATAAACTGTACATATTTGGCTATGGCAGGATCACCAACAAATCAAGGTTGAAAGAAAGAATACAAGATGAGTTCATCGGTCAATGTCAAGAACAGACAGATGGAAGGAATACTTTGCTTGTTTCTAATGATGGAATGAGATCGATGATGAGAAAGGCAATGCAAAATCGTGATTTAGAAGATAAAGCCCTTACACTTAAGATTGCTAAACGCATAGGAGGAGATATCCTCTTCCAGTTTTCTGGTACATTTCCTGATGTATCATTAAAGAAATAACTGCATTCTGTAATCCAGGTGAGGTTCCAGTTATGACAGTGGATCAACCTCTTTTTGCACTTGCAAAATACGTACAATGAGGCTGGCCAAACACTTTTTGGAGAAGATATGTTCACAGTGATGCTTGGTAGCTTGCATACCGAGATGGCTTTATGGAGGATGTTGGGAAATCTGTTGGAGGATTCAGGGTGGACTTCATTTCTTACAGTATCCCACGTGACAAAGACAAGGCATGCTCACCAGGTGACAGCTTTGACCGTGGCAAAACTGCAGAGAGAGAGATGCATGCAAGACATTGAATGGAGAATGTGAAGAGGAAGCATTTCAACAGTGGAAGAAGCAATTGATGCTTGTACTGTACTGATCTTTGTCCGATCTCACCGTGAGAGGAATTTCCATATGTATGTAGAGGTAATGGACCTGCTTGCCCCATGGTTCTTCATCTTGCACCACACCAATTATGCTCGCTGGCTTTCTGTACACATAAGGGATATGAAAACTCTCTTGGCATTGTATTCGGTCGACTTCATGAGAAATTGGTGTTTTCCAAAGACTAAAAGAACATTCTCGGCCATGCCATTAGATCAAGTCCATGAGGAAAACAATAAAACAGTCAAGGACTCTGGTGGAGCAGTGGGTTTGACAGAAACCCAAAAGCCCTGAAAAGATGGATGATTGCTGGGCCAGAGCAATCACGTCTGCTTCAAGAGTTCGACAAGCAAACAGACAAAACACAGTGTGATTCCAAAAGCCATTAACAGAGTGAATCTAGGCAGAACAAGTTTAAGACTCAAGCATGCCAACATTATTACACAATCACATCAATGGGAAATCCGTTTTTGGAAGAATCCACAGATTTGATGACCCTTGATACTCATGATTGTGTAGATGAATCCGTGAGCAAAGCTCTCAATTCTCTTGAATCTGTAGGGAGAGAGTAGTATGATCTCTTCGTTCAAGTCAATCCATGCACAAATCAAGAAAAACTACGTACCACTGTTCAAGAGGAGACAGCCTAAAGCCAAATCCAAGATTAGAAGTCAGGTTGATGATATCAAAAGTGACTACAGTCTGTTCAGTCAGATGTTCATAGCCTGCCAAGTGCGCCAAGCTGACTTGTCCGAGTTCTTTTGCCACGAAAACCATCATTGGCCAGTTTCCTTGTCTCAACATGGAAAGGTATGGCTGCCATCCTGCAAATCTGAATTGCTTGATTGTTTGAAGAAGCATGTGGAGGAGAACAACCTCATGTGGATACAAAGATTCTCTACCAATTCTCATTGTTCATTCTCTACCAACTGACGAAGCAAAGACATTTGGTGAATACTGTGACATGGTTTTCTAACCAAGGACAGAAAGGCAGTTGGCCAACTGTAATAGAATTGACATTGTGTGGGACACATACATAGATGGGAGTCTGAAAGAGGCAACCAGAGAAAAGCGAGGAAAGGGGAAACGGAGGAAGGTGTCACGGCAAACAAAACTACCAGCAAACTTTCCATTGTTTCTTCTAGATTCGAAGGCCAAGGAGGAACTCTTTGAACTTCTGACAGATGGAGTCGCAGGATTCACATATGAGACAGGCAAAAAAGCTTCATCACCTCTGGTAGAAATGTGTCCTCAAACAGCAGTGAAGTGATGAATCCCAGTGATCATGAGGAAGCTGACACGCGTATTTGTCTGGATGTTCTGAAGAAAGGTGGCTCAAGTGTCTTGGTGAACACTGTCGATACTGACATCATCATAGTATTGGTGGGAAACTTTTCAAAACTAGAAGTTCGTAACTCATCTCTTCAGATATATGTGGCTTTTGGGAAAGGCAAACAATTCCGTCAATTCCATCTGCAAAGAACTTGGACACACTAAATCAAATGCTCTTCCTTTCTTTCACACCTTTACTGGGTGTGACACCACTTCACAGTTTAGTGCTAAAGGGAAAAGGACAGCTTGGAAGACATGGCTTGCATATCCAGAAGCTACCGCAGGTTTTCTGTACCCCGCCCTTGAACCGTTTAGTCCGGTCAACGAACACTCAGTAGCATTTGCTACCATTGAACGATTCATGTGCATTCTCTATGACAGCAGCACTTCGCTTGACAAAGTCAATGACCTGAGACAAGAGATGTTCTGCCAAGGAAAACGGGTGAAAATGATGAACAATCTGCCACCAACACAGGATGCTCTCATTCAGCACACAAACCGGAGTATCTACCAAGCCAGCATATGGTTGGGTAGTCTAATACCAGAGTTGAATGCCCCGGACCCAAGTTCCCTCGGATGGAGAAAGGAAGACAATACTTGGTGTCCTGTTTGGATGACAATACCCGAGGCATCAAAAGCCTGCAGGGAACTCATCAAGTGTGGATGTAAATCCCAGCCACTCTGTTCCAGAAAGTGCATATGCAAACACTCAAAGCTCGATTGCACTTCCCTTTGCCACTGAAAAGGCAACTGTGAGCACTGAAGGTGCGTAAATGAGATTTCATGTCTATTTTGTTATCTGTGATTTGTAATATGACTCTAAGAATGACATAAAATAATATAATTGGACTTTGAAATGGTTATTATTGGATTCCTGACCATCGAAAATGTAGATTTTCCGTTTTGAAGTCCCAGTTTCTGATAGGTATTTACAAAAATAGAAAAATATGGATATGGCCGCCATATTGGCCGCCATCTTGGATTTTGAGAAAAGTAGGTCACCAAAATCGGGCACCCCTACCTATTATGATTCAGCAATGTATTTCAAGGTTGTATGCAAAGTTTCATGCTTTAGTCCGCCAAGTATCTATTTTCACCCTAAGCCACTCCACTATATTACATGATTTGAACCTCTGTGTCTTAATCAACAGAATCCAATCAGATGTTGTCACATTAATGACTGGATTTCAAAGACTCAATTTCACAATGAACCACACATGATAAGAACAGACTTCCAACCTTCTGCAATGCTTTACAAACGTGCATATCGTTCTCATAATTATTTTTCTAGAAATGTCAAGCTATGCTGCCTTACTTTTCTTAAACATACCAACAAGAATCTTCTTTGATGGTTTTCAATGCTTTCGAGAAAATTATTTATAATCAGTAATGCCTTGGCATGTTCCTTTCTAATCTCCCTGGTGGGGATTCCGGATTAGAATAGATCCCACCGACATATGCTGGTTGTATAAGGCGGATAGACTGTCAGATCTGCCAGAGACCGCTGTAAAAAAGCTTGGATATTGTGTGGTAAAACAACAAATTCACACCCTCAACACGTGTGCACGTTAGGAAACCTAATGTTACACTTTTCAGCCACATTACGGATTTGTGACAGAATGCCAAGGCTAAATCTTGTTTGAAGATCATCAGCAATTATTTTGGGTCATCGATTCTGATATTATTATATAATAAACATGCTGTGTTGACCTTCAGTTTAAAGCGAAGTCATTTGTCTATCGGACATTTGAGCACAGCCCAAGACTGCAGCACAAAGGTCCAACTCAATACCATCCATCTTCAAGGCAAATTAATCTGCATCCTCCATGAGGGACACGGAAACACTATAAGGACGCCCTGGTTTGCATTGTGTGTTGAACTTGACCTTCTAATTTAGGAAACAAGATAATCATTGCCATTACCCTAGAAATCCAGCGTTACATAACGTCATCGATTTCTTTATGCCGTTCTGGTGAGGTTAAGCTGCTGGTCGATGCTGATGTTGCTGATGACTATTAGAAGGCTTCGTGCGGCATGGCGTTTTCCTAAGATTAATTCTGCTTTAAATTTCTCCAAGGTCGCCGGTTGTCACGTCGCTGAGTAATCCTAGTAACACGTTCAATACCGAAGCAGCGCTTGGCACATTAACTGCTGATATGCCGACCTTGAAATCTGGCACGATGGTGCCTTGTATGGCTTAACTATTGCCGTGAAATGTGTCAGAACGACAGACATCGAAGCGGGAAACCATTTGGTCATATAACCGAAACACACTGACCTTGCGTGTTTGCCGTGTCTACATGCTTAAATGGGTTTGCTTTTTACTGTCTGGAATGGCTTTCTAATGGCTATTCTGGACGATTTAATCTTTGTGCTTGGAAGTAACGATCATTTAAAAACAGTGGACAACTGCAAACTGATGCTTCAGCATTAAGCCAATAATACATTCCGCACCATTGTTGTCTTATTTTGATGCTTCACTGAGCAATATTCCAATTCTAAATAAATGTGTTTTACCATTGATTAGTATCCATAGAAATGTTCAACGAAATCGGGGAACGATGATACGCAATCAACTTAGTACCGAGTGCTAAACATCCGATCCACTTAGTCGGCCATTTGAGGGAAAAACAGTTGTTGTTATTCAATTTTTACCAAAAAAACCCAAATCAGGTATACCCTCTTTTACTCCCAGTTTATCCGATTCTCTCAACGGTGAAGATCCTGGTTAGAATAGGTTTTCAGCAACCGATGCTAAGAGGAGGTTGACACATGTCATCGTATCCCATTTGCGTAGACCGATGCTCATCCTGTCGATCACTGAATTGTCTTGTCAAGATTCGATTATTTACAGACCGCCACCATAGTGCTGAGTGCGGCGTTAAACAACAAACAAACCAACAAACGTCAAGCCAATGTCAACATAAGACAGGTAAGTTGGCAATGGATCGGTAATGATGTGGGTTGGCATGACTTTGATTGACCTAATCCCAACTCATATTGTGCAAGGTCGGTACAAGATGCTGAGACCCATTGGTGAACATCTATCTCTTCTAAGCGTTGTATGGGTCGACCTTTTGTCTGTCCATACTGAGCACGTATGGCTAATGCCCAGCTGCAAACATCCATAGACACCATAGCCAGCAACAAGCTCCGACCTGTTCCCATCAAATGGAGACACGAACTGCATACTTATATAAGTATAATACTTATAATTTCACAATAAGTAAAGGTAAATGATAAAAACCTGTCAGCGAAGGACAGTAAAAACAACTATAATATCACAGATATAAATATAAAAGTAGTATGTCAATCTAAAATATTTCAATTACAGAAGACAATGCAATATAAAAACAGGCTATATATTGCCTATATAAGGTAGTCCACCATACTAGGGACCATTGGGACTTACAGTGCCTTTGCTACCTGCATGGACCCTAGCTGGATTTACATCATCCTTTCAGCTGCTGGCGATTGTAGGCAAATTTAGCCACAATTAAAATGGCAATTATACTACGAGTGAAAATGTGGAAGATAAAATTTTACTTCCTATGTTTTGGGTTTTACGTATCCTCTCAGGACAATAATTTTACGGTACTTCAACCTCCCGTGAGGATACCGCCACTAACAATCTAAGTTGCTAATTTAACTACCAATAATAATATATATATATATATATATATATATATATATATATATATATATATATATATATATATACATAAACATATCAATCAAAATTTATCAATTAGTTTACTTTCTTTAAAAAATTCAATAATTAAATGATAATTAATATTGCTAAAAAGATTCTTAACTGTTTTTGCACTGAAATATTTATCCCTTGTGATGGAAAAATCGATACAGTCAAGCAGGACATGCTTGATACATTCAGTAGGGAGAAGTGGTGTACTAAATATTTAACCTGTACTAGATTTAGACAGAAAGATCTGGAAAGTACTGCAAACAGGTGATTTCACAATCATCCGAGTATTGTAGAGTTTTGTCGCATCTTATTATTGTCTATATAAGAGGAGCTAACTACTGCCTCGCATCTCACATTACATCTAGGGGCTGTGGGGTAGCCTAGTGGTTAAAGCGTTCGCTCGTCACGCCGAAGACCCGGGTTCGATTCCCCACATGGGTACAATGTGTGAAGCCCATTTCTGATGTCCCCCGCCGTGATATTGCTGGAATATTGCTAAAAGCGGTGTAAAACATACTCACTCAATCATTACATCTCACGTTTCAAGACGTCCAGTGTTATGGTCATTATAGTCTGTGTACTCTGCTTAGTTGGATTAGTGTTGCTGAGAGGAGAATATTGTCGCAAAAAGGTGATGCTGTTGTTTTATCATTGTTTCGTTGAAAGTATTTTAACCTTTTCAATTCAATGCTGGTATGGCTCTCTTAATATCAAAAGCAAATCGTATCTTAACGAAATCATTTTAATTGCAAGTAAAATCTCTGGGGTGTCGGTTTCGGATTTACCTGCTCTGAATAATTCCCGTGTTCTTAACCTCGCTGAGAGAATTTTATCTGATTCCAGCCACGTGTTTTTTTTTCTGAATATAATCTTTTACCTTCAGACCGCCGATACCAAATGCCCCATATTAAAACAAAAAGAGTTCAAAATTCTTTAATCCCCTTTTAAATGACTGTTAGCATTGCGTATTGTATTGTTTTGTGTTTTCTTACACTTTATGTCATTTTTAATATATAATTACGTGATCACTTTCAAATGTAATAAGAATTCCCTTAGGGGTAATAAAGTATTGTCATTGTAATTGTCATTATCATCATCATCATCATCATCATCACCGTCTTTATGAATTTGTACTGACAGTATTTGTTTAACTGCGATAGTGATACCACAGTAGTGCTTTGTATTGACTTGTCAACTTGGTTAACCTTACAATTACATCAACTGTTTTGCTGTTTGTTGGTTCACGTACTGATTCCCAGTTAACGTGTAATGGGAATCTTCACGTAACTCTCCAAAAAAGATAACTTTCAAATTGCCAATCCGACCCATGTCGTCTTTTAGGATCGTTGGAGGTCATGACATCGACTGTCATGATTTATCATCGGTTGTAATGTGTTCCAATTCTCTCATATTTAGCATAAAACTATTATTAGAAACCAATATAATATCTCATACAATTTTATCCCCTACTCTTTCAAGGGTAAATATGATGTGACATCACACTGGCGTTAATTAGCGTGGGTACTGGAAACAAATTGAATTTCCGACTGTGTGCCATAAATAACTGATTCCTCCATGGTGGCTGGGACGATCTTCACGTTTCAATCTATGTTCGTCTGAGAGAAGATTCCAAAGAGCAAACCGCTCTTTTTGGCTTCATTAAAGAAGAGATGCTTCTAAACTGAAGTCATTAAAGCCTTTACTGAATACCATAGGGAACAGCTCTTTTCTTGGGGTCTGTCATTTAATACCTAAAAGCAAACTACATTTTTCTTGAGATTTGAAATAAACGAGTTTTGATATTTCCGTTTAATTGGAACCAAAAAACAGTGCCAGTATGTTGTTTCTTGATGTATTGCATCGGACAGGGATGATGCCCCTGTGCCCATGCCAAATAATTGGAACCTTGGAAGGAAAGGAGTCTCATACGTTATACATCTGACACGCAGGCTGAAAGACAACGTCCTTCACAAAATCATCTCGGAATAATTGGCTGGAAGATTGTTTTAGTTGGACACATGCTGTATTCAGAGAACATACATCTGCAACTGTACCCTTTGGATAATTATCCATACGAAATCTGACTCTCTTATCAGCACAACAAATGTTTTTACATTCGACGTGTAGTTATTCAGTAACAACATGCGGGACGACACTGATGTCCAACAATTCATGGCATTTTTGGTGTATTCCCCACTGTGAAACTTGAGTGTGAGTGTGTGTGTGTGTGTGTGTGTGTGTGTGTGTGTGTGTGTGTGTAAAACATGTGTGAAGGTACATTAAACTTACACATGGTCAGTGTAACGTTAGTTGTACGATTTCATGTAGATTCTCTGTAATCTAATATTTTATACATTGACGTTTATGTACTTATATCTCTCTATGTGTGATAATCAGCACAAGATATATACCTGTGATGAATACAGGTATATCAAGGGAATTATCAAGTAAATAATTCATCGCCAATATTGTCCTTATTATTTTGGGCATCTTGTCTGGCAGGAAGATATTTAAAGAAAACAGGAAGTGTTTTTGAACAGTTCTAGATCTACATGTTGGCAATATGCTACCTTGTACAACGTTCAGATATAGTTAGGTGTGAACGGTGTGTCAGTGCACAATACGAAATTCATACCTGTACTTCTTTTGTCGTTCCAGCTGAGAAAAAAAGTTCATTTGCTACGGATCATTTCATATTCTAGGGAATATTTTATAAATGTTCTGGGTTTTATCTGAATGAGTGAGTGAGTTTAGTTTTACTCCGCTTTTATCAATATGTCATCAATATCATGGCGGGGGACACCAGAAATGGGCTTCACACATTGTGCCCATGTTGGGAATTGAACCCGGGCCTTCGGCGTGAGGAGCTAACGCTTTAACCACTTGGCTAAAATGCCAATCAAACAGGTGAATGGAGTAGTTTTAAGAACATGTAACACGTTCAATGACTTAGTTATTCTCTGCGTAGGTCAAAAGGACAAAGTAATTCGTTTCGAGGAGCTTCGGGAACAGACATTCTTTGTAAACGCTCACAGGAACACACTATGAAATGGTAAACGCTTAAAAGGACATTCATACAGTCATGCACTTCCGACCCCAGTTAAATTTATCCTTTGCATCAAAATGCGTACTCAAATCGCAGTAAAATGATGACAGAGTAAGTCGAAACACCTACGGAAGTATTGCAAGTATTTCCGATGTCGATAAACATAACATCTTTTACTTTAAATCTTTATTAAATACTTCAACTTTATAAATTTTCACTTTATGAAGAAAAACGCAAACGAACACTGATACATATAACTGGCATTGTATCTCCTTCTTGTGATTATTTGTTGTTAAAGTCAGCAATATTCCAGCTGCTCGATGGCTGTACGAGGTCATCAAGCAAGTCAGCAAGCCTGACCACTTGATCCCCGTGAGATGCTTCTTTCGACAAATATGTGTTGCTGAAGACCGATACTAACTCATATCTTCCCGGGAGACAAGCAGCTCGGCGCTTAAATCGCATTTTGCAGCCTTATACAAACACATCGATGTGCCCCTGTAACGATAAGCAGGTTAAACCGGTATTTACCAGTGACACGTGAATTTATTTAATTAGGCTGTATAATAGGATTTAAGGGCATATCTCGTACTCAGAAAACATACAAATACCATTTTCAAGGAGATAAAGGACAAAACTATTTACAAGACGTTGAAAATGAACCGGAACCCATCTCATCTGATGAGGCCAATATTTCCATGTAAGTATTAAATTATAAGACCACGTATATGGCGATGAACCCCACGTTGCACGGGCATGTTCTAAGCGCTTACAACATAATATGGGCATCGGATCACCCAAGCTGCCTGTGAGAAGGGTAATAGCCACATGACTTATCCCACCGGGTACCCATTCATTACTTGAACAAGCTGAGTTGCCTGAAGTGAGACCACATGTGTCACGTGTGCTTAATTGTGGGGCAGGACTGAAGTCTTAGCAACTCCCACATGGACACCAATCCAAGGACTATCCGTGACCAACGTTCCTTAACTTCAACTGACTTGGGAGACCACACACACCACCATCTTTCAAATATGCTTAGGTTTACTAGACTTACAAACTCAAGTTTACAATTATATTTACCAACTTTAGTTTAATTTAACATTTGAACAAACATTTTATCACCAAATAGAAAGCTAGATAGTCTTATTATAAAGCATAAAGACACTTTCCTTTCACAAAAACAAAGCTAATCAGATCGATGGTTTGTGGCACTATCTGTTTACCACTCAGTAGTCCTTTAGCTGATTAAAACAACACACAGATTTTTCATGTTCAGTTTGATGTTCTTGTTACTTTAAGCCGGGAACATATCACATGATTGGTCTGGCATCCGAGTTCAGTTTGATGGAATGATGGCCTGAAATCCCAGCAGTATTGAGGGCAAGAACATGCAACCTGATTCCCAAAGCCATCAAAGTAACAGTTTTGCAGCAGACATATTTTATTGAAGAAGATTACAAGTTGACATGGAATGACTGCTGAGCGCTTGTTTATCTCACTCGAGATTCATAGTGTTAAAATTTTACGTCAATATTGAGTATTGTTGCAAAAGTATTGTTACTGTTAATAAAAGCGGCATAAAACATTTTCCATAATCCCACGAAATCTTTACTTACGACAGAGTCCATTACACGAATACGACTAATCATGAACATGTGTTTATAGATCACTATCAGTATAGTTGATGCCAGGTGTTCGGGGAATCGATTGCGTATCCTGTTCACCGGGGAAACTATTGCGATTCTAATGCAAATGGATTCAGTTGCAACTATTGCGATACTATTGCAAATGGATTTAGTTGCAACTATTGGTATACGTTTGCAAATTGATTTAGTTGCAACTATTGGTATACGTTTGCAAATTGATTTAGTGGCGACTATCGCCATACTATTGCAAATGGATGAAGCACTCTCGACGTTCTTCAATGTAGGTTTCATGATGACAAAGTCATCATATTAACTGTGATATTTAAATTGTCATTAATGCATTGCTAGCGGATCATGAACATGTCAATACTTCGATCAAGTTTATTACAATTTGCTGCAAGTATTACAATTTACGTTTTTATTACAATTTACGTCGTAACACAGGCATTACTTCGAAGGATGATGTTGGACAAAATATACGGGAATAAAAGCTCCCTCAGGCCCTTGGGATCAGCGAGCTATGACAGCTCATGATGTTTCCTTCCTGACGCAATGTGATTAAAAGAATTGTTGTTCATACTACAAAATGTAAAATAAGTAATTCTCAAATCGTTGTTCTGCGCATACTGAGAAGACAGTTACATATAAAACACTGAAAGAGTGAGTATAATATAATACATTGTCCTAAAGTATAATTATATCTTGGCTGACATTCAACAATTGTAATTGCGCCTTTAACAAAATGAATGAAACTGACTATCACAAGTTCATCTACGCGTTTTATCAGCGGGTTCTTGTGACTGAGATTGCTAAATATGCAGTGATCCGATATGTCCGATGCATTTCGCTATTTTCACTTGAAATGTATTTTAGGTGAGCAACTGGCCAGCTTTGCATGTGTTTATGACGGATGCGATTAGAGGGATAGGACACGTTCACCTTTTCACCAACACGTGCCATTGCTGTTTTATTGTGATTCATAAAATGCATGCTCATGGCATAGTCGGACTCGCACAATGGACTCTCGGGTTTCTCAGAGGGTTTGTTGTTACGTAAGCTTTTGAAATTACCTGACATTTTAAACAAGTCATTGCTGCAAGCAAAGCCTCAAGTTAACGTTATTTTATTATATTTTTTTATTATAGGACATTTATATAGCGCACATATCCACGCACTAGTGCATGCTAAAGGCGCTGGTATTTTTTCCCTCGATCATTGGATGTCAATATCAACTGCACATCGTATTAGCAATCTCAACTCCCTGGGGAGTATACAACTCTTGCTGCCACTAGGCGCACCGAGTTATTGTGGCTTTCTCATCCTAACGAGGTACCCATTCACAGCTGGGTGGACTGGGACAGATAGTCACAGCACTTTGTCCAACTTCCTACACGTTGCTCTACCCGCAACTAGGTGTTTGCACGTTCTCTTGTCATTTTGTTGGTCAATATCACCTACTCCTTAATAATGAAACATTATCTTCAGAGAACTGTCAGCATGTGAACTTGAACCAAATGGTTTCCAATTAAATTGAAACAGTAGGTTTTCTTCACAATGCTTCTGCATATGCCTGACGTTGATTTATGTTTTGATTTAGGGATATATTTGATGTGATTTGACGAAAGGTTTTGTGTGGTGATCTTTGTTTTAGTTTACAGTGCAAAACCAGATATTTTGTTACTTAAAACTACGATCGTATTTTTTTCCCTGAAATTACATTGCATAAATTTAAAAATGCATATTTTCCTGGCATACAGAGCATAGTTTTGTCAATATGACTGCACAAGACGAGGCACTTAATGTATTTTGGTCCCCGTAATAGTGGTGCGAGGGTTAATTTACAAGTTCAGAACCTGATACAAAACCTAAAGACACTGACATGATTTTTCTTTAAGCATTTATTCCCTCCAGCATTGACAGATCTTTTGTCAGCGAAGGTTTGCAGAAGTCTTTCACTTGAGTGCCAAAATATTCTCCTAAACATCTAGGTACATCATCATTTGAGAGGAAAGGGTTCCAGAGAGAGATATTTCAGTGCTTGAGAACAAGTGGAAGATGGACAGAGTCAGATTAGGTGAACATGGTGAGTTCTGAAGGTGTGGGCACTTCTTTCTGAACTTCACACCTCACTCCTTGATTTCATTCTGTAATTGCCTCCAAATGCTCCGTTTTGCCTGGCCTTTTGTAAGATAGACCACCATGCTCACACCGTCGACGTCCCAGAGCACAAATTTGGGCCATAACCTTGCCAGCTGATTGGACAGCTTTGGAGGTGGTGATGTCAAATACATGTTGTTTGCACATCTATTGCCACAAATCAAACCATAAACCTTTCCGGGTCGGCTTCAATCACCGCTTGATTATCACGAGACATGTGCCAGTGCGTTTTGTATCAGATGACAGAAGCTTGTGAGTCCAACAAGCTGATACTTCCTTAAGACATCTTAGGTCTACGAACGTTTCGAGAATAAGGACCCTTGCCTTGTCTTCTGAAGCTCACATCTATTGCCACAAATCAAAGCATAAATCTTTCCGGGTCAGCTTCATTCAATTATCTCGAGACGTGCCGGTGCGTTTTGTATCAGATGACAGAAGCTTGTGAGTCCAACAAGCTGATACTTTCTTCCTTGCCAAAGGCACTGTGATAATGTAATGTACTCTCCTCCTGAGAAATGCCTACTGAAATAAAACATGATGCTCAATCGTGCATTACCATTCCATCGATTCTCGGGACCATTCTTTGCGTTCTTATGTAACATGCCTCCTGGTATTGACAAGTCTTCAAGGCCCTCCCGGCTACGCTTAAAGTTTGCTCCCCAACTTGTAACAGTGGGATAGAAAGAACATTCTTCCCTCTTGTGTTGTATTCATTTTGTAGATATACCTCTATGGATGTCCATAACTGGCAAGACCGCCTGAAAGGAAGCCCATACTTAAGGCTAAAATGATGGGTTGTTTCACTACAATGATCACGAGAGAGCAACGATGTTATTGCTGCCCACTGTTTTGTTGCCAAAATGCAACAAAAGCAGCACCAAGGTTGAAAGAGAAAGATTACACAGGACTTGGTGCATTATGTTCAATACCAGTATATTCCCACATCCTTAAAAAATCAGTCAAAACCTCAATTTGTTTTGGAAAAAAAAATTCAAGATGATTGGCAATCAAAATACAATCTGTTTGCCTTAAATCTTTGATAAAGCTGTGAATAATCAATGTTAAAGTTCTGTTTCTTTATGAAGATTTAAGCTGTTTTGAAGAAGGGTGATGCATGTTTCCTACAGCTGAACCAGACATTAATCTTCAAGATATGCGGCAGACAATTTCCTGTTTTCAACAGCCTGTAGCATAATGACATTTTAAAGCATTTTGCAATATATTCTTTTCAATACAATGACCACTTCCAGTTACCGAAATGACTGCCAACAAGCGCTGTTTCTTGATATTGGCCCTTTGGTCCAAAAGAATGCTTATATCAGTGTGATAGATAACAACACATCTAATTCGTTATATAGCCCAGAGATACAAAATCATATTGAAACTGAAATGACATGAAACGGGTTCTTCTTGTGTCTGTTTAAATTAAAGTACTTAAATTTGACACTGAGGAATTATTATTTATTTTTTCAAATGAAATCTGATCCATTCATAACAGCACTTTTAAGTATGTATGTAATAATTGTTAAATGCCAAGGCATATTGTCCACATTGAAATAACAACAACAGCATATGTTACCGTACGTATTCTTAAGGAAAATAGTAACACTGCTTCATAAAGCAGGACAGTCGATGTTATTTTATTGAAAATAACATTGAAAATTTTACATTGAAATTGAAAATTTTATTGAAAATAACATAACATTTCCTCTTTCGTCTGATCAATGTTACATCATGAAAAACTCATTGACAAAACCCATACCTGGTGAATACAGACTGAGCAACGCGCTAAAGAAATGGGTCGGACATCGGCTGGTGTGATCACCATTTGCGTTGATTATGGCGAAGAGGTAGCGGTGCATTAAGACGCCACGTGAATAGAAACAGCCTGGATGATTTTGTTCTCCAAATGTTAACTCAACATTGGTCCAACTAAGCTGCTGTTACTGTGGTTCAGTGACGTTCCATCTCTCCCCAGAGGGTAGGGGTCTGGGCCACAGCCGGACAGGGCTGTACAATGGTGTAACAGCGCCTAAAGATTCACATGATTATGGCACGAGGTACATGTGGACAGGCATCTTCGCCTGTGATGTAACACCCCTGCATTTGATCAAAGAGTAGCACATGATCTTGAACGATGTCGTTCCGATAGGGTATGCCATTCAAACAGTCATGAACAATGATAGCTGAATTGTGTCCCCCTTATGGGTTATGAACTTCCAACCGCAAATTGGCAACGTGTGGTACACAAGCGTCTCTAAAACATTCTCCTCGATGCCTACAAACCCTTGCCGACCATCAAAACTGTACAGATGAAATCTTGACTCTACTGTGAACAGTATCCTGTCCTAGCCTTGTCTTCTGAAGCTGAGATGCTGGCCGCATCAAGCTTGGCGTGTGGAAGTACAAGTGGCTGGTCGCGGGACGTTGGTTGTGTCACTGAATGGTCTGATTGAAGGAATCGCCCAAAGTGTTAATGTGGTATTTTGGTATTGAGTATTACTGCTCTATATATTTGAGCCATTGTATTTTTTTGTCATTTATGATTGTAAATCCTATCCTGTGTATTTAAAAATAAGTTCATGGTTATTTACTGGAGTTAACTAACATTCGAGTTACGATTTCGTAAGCAAACAGTAAACGAAATCGAGAGCTGTTTTGGAATCTAAATGAAATTCGCTGAGAATTCCAAATTTGTAAGCAAAGCATTTTCAATTTTAAATTTGCTTGTGTTTATTCTGTGCTCAAAGCTTTACGCGGGATTATTAGCAAATTAGTAGGAACAATTTGCAGTTTCAACCTTGAGACATTTCTTCTGTCTCCAAGTGAGAATCAAATCGGATTAGTTAGCTGCAGCAAAGAATGATTACCTTGATGTTAAGCCGTCAGTGAGCAAAATGGAAATTAAGATACTTGTAGAATTTGGTTGAAAGGGAACGTTTAGGCGAATATGCGTTGGCGTTGCTTAAGAAGGGTAAAATGTTTTGAATTGAAAACTATTGAATTAGCGTTTCAGAGAGAAAGAAAGAAGAGAGTTTGAAACAATTAAAATGACACAAAGAAAAAGGGGAGAGAATTCAATTAAGCGAATTGAAATTGCAGAAATAATTCTCTCAATATGACAATAATCACTTTGATGTGACAAGATCATTTATATTTATGTTTGTGTAACTAATCCTGAAATCTCAAATATTTCAATATAATTTGTTGATTGTTGATTGATCATGTGTATTTAGTTATTGATGTTTTGAACGTACCGAATTGTCGGATAACATTTCACATGTAACAAGGAGATGGTGCTGTTGAAAAACTGCTAACCACTAACATGACACACATAATTCTGACATTGAGCAAGATAATGCTCATGCCATGTGTTCGTCACATTTTTTATGTTACGTCATCAACAACCATCCTCTTATTCTGGCATCCACTGACCTCTTGGAGAATGATCTAAGTGCAGGCAGCCACTCTCTATACAGTGTACCACAAATTCAGAGCATGAAATGGTTCATCATCCCCTGAATACTATGCCAAAATATATGCACTGGCATCTATAAAATCATGTTTAATATGACGAATTGCACTTGGTTTTAGACAAGGTGGAACTATTGTTGTTGGCTATTAAACTATAGACACCATATCTGTTGGAGGCAGACACTTAACGTGTTCCACATACACATGAAGCAACATTGGCAAGAGAACATCCTCTCATAGTTTCTCTCGAGGGACAGATGTTTTACTTCTGCAATCATCTGTTTCATCACAGACATTAAGGAAAGACACAAAGCCATTACGCTGGAGTCAGTTTTGAGAGCACTGGGACCAACTATATCAGAGGCGTAAACAGATTCCCATGCATTTTTGGAACAGACATTACAGGTCGATTAGTTGGAAAGGGGCAGGTGGCTTTAAAATACTTGTTTGCGACAGCCCGCCGCACACCTGAGTAGCCCCTCAGTTGTAACTTTCGCTCAAGCTGAGAAATACGTTTGCAAACTATACATTCAAATAACATTTTCTTGCCAATGTATGTTATACGTTCAGAAAGAAACAAGCCCTTGCATAAAAGCTTAAATATAGTAAGAACATTGACACAAGCTCTACTGAGAGTCCATTTGCAGACAAAAATGAAAATTTAATAATGACATTATAAACTTGAGCTGCCACAACCACACACACCGACGGCTAGACCTTAATACAGTATTACTCTAAACAGAGATGGCATTTCCTTTTGCTCATGAGGCAATGAGGCCATGCATCATGATCTGGCGAAGTGTTGAATTGCTGCAACAAAGTGCTCAACTAGAATTAGTGTGCGTGTGGGTTTGTTTGTGTATGTTTACCGAGAAACCAATATGTGAAATGCTTTTTGCATTGATAACATCTTTGTAAAATTTGGGGGTAAAACATTTCGCCACGAAGTAGGCATCCCCATTGGCACCAATTGTGTCATCCTCCTTGCGGATATGTTTCTTTATGCATATGAATAAGAATTTCTGCTTTGGTTGGCACAATCAAAACAAGCTTATTTGGCCAAGAAGTTTAACGTAAGCTTCCGGAACATCGATGATCTAATACCGTTCAATATCAATCAATTAGCCAATTGCCTTCCACTGATTTACACTCCTGAACTTGAAATTATGGAGACAAGTGACACCGCCTCATATTTAGATCTATGCACAAAGATTCAGAGTGACAAAAAAACTCTCCATAAGGCTGTATGACAAAAGGGATGGTTCCAATTTTCCAATGGTCAACTTCCCTTTCATGTCGAGCAATATTCCAACAGCTACAGCCTCTGATGTTTACATTTCACAGCTTTTGAGGTACAACGGAGCGTGCTCTTTTTATCAGGATTTCAAAGAGCGACATACCACCCACGCTCAGAAGTTGTTTGATCAAGGTTACAGCATTCAAGGCCCCAGTAAAGCTTTCAAGAAATTTTATGGTAGACATGTTGAGGGAATTTCGAAATTCGATGAATCAATGACAAAAATTATGTCCGATGCTATTCCCTGTTTTGATTTATACCATACGTTTCCGAATTCAGGTGAACAGTTGACAAGGCTTAGCATATGTTTATGACGGGTACCACCGGCGGGGCAGGATAGGCTCACCTTTTCGCGAACACCTGGTATCATAAACACATGCTCTGTCATCGTATCGCATGGTGACAATCACAGGATTGTCTGGTCTGGTCTCGATTTGTTTACAAACATCATCGTACAGCTGTAATACTGCTAAAACAAATATACTGAACCACAAAAGAAATGTCGCACTGATAGGGGTTTCTTAAAGCACACACTTTAATTCACTCTAATTAACAATCAAATAGGAGGACTGAGTTCAAACTAGAAATTATGGTTAACACATTTTCGGGAATCACATTAAGAGTTCACACAAACACATCACCAAAAATGGTACCATTAAGATACGCCAAAGTCAGTATCGTGTGTGCCCGAGCTATGGGCATCGATGAAATCGTTGCATCGTCTGTACATAGAATGAATTAGCCGGTCGACGAAGGCCATAGGCACTTGGGTCCATACTCTGCGAAATGCCTGATCGAGTCCAGCCGCAGTTGTCGGCCTTGGTTGAAGGCCATTCAGTCTTCTTCGAATCTCGTCCCAAAGGTGTTCTACTGGACTTAAATTCGGACTGAGTGAGGGGTATTGTAGGGTTTTGATGCCATGTTGTCTTAGGAAGAACAATGTTGCTCTGGCAGTGTGGGCACGACCGTTGTCTTGCTGGAAGGTGTGATTTCTGTAACGTGCAAAATGTGGTACATCGTGGGGTCTTATGATTTACACAATATAGCGAGCAGCTGTCATGTCATTTCCTCACCCTGGACCAAGATTCTGGAACACCACGGTGTCAACTAGCTGTTCACACCGATTGCACCCCACACCATGATGCTTGGACCACCTCACGAGTCTCTTTCAACAATACACTCATTGGAAAACATTTCACCACGCCCTCGCCATACTCTCACTCTGCCATCGACCGTCGAAACACAATATCGGCTTTCATGAGATATATAACAGCACAGTTCTCCATTGTCGATAACCTGAATTTCGATGCTGAGTTGCCCATTTTGGTCGGTTTGGGCGGTGATGAGCGGTGAGGACAGGACTACAATATGCTCTGTGACAACAGAGGTTTCTTCCGCGCAAACGTCGACGCACTGTATCGGCACTGAGTGGTCTGTTTTGAGTCAGAAATGGTCTGGCGTGCTGTTTCCGTCGCTCTGGGGAAGCGATCCTGCAGATGGTGGCGCACAGCCTGTCATTCTTGACGTTGAGATGTTACTGAAGGTCGCCCACTGCATTGACGGTCTTGAATGCTCTTAGTGACCTGATACCACTCCTGCTGTCCTAACATGGACATTAAAATGATTGGCTACCCTCCGTGCAGTCTGGACAACTTGCAATCGTCCCACGACTTGGTTCCTCTGATCTCTCGTAAGACGTGGGTGACATGGTGGTCGTGTCAAAACAAAAATGATTTCAGGCGAGCTTGGGACCCGCTTTCGTTGGTAGGGTAGTCACGACAAGCACGTGCATTTTCATTTTCACGAATGTCATACGGAACCTTTTACCATGTCTGACTTTTTCGGTGCGTTTGGTCGACATGCGTTTTCATCAGAAAACACACTGATGTTGGTAATAAATGTCAATTTGGATTGAAAAACATGTTAAGAAAACTGTTCAATCATAATATAACACCAACTTGCAAGAACAAAATTTTGCATTTGGTTTTGCAAAGCGACGTTTCTTTTGTGGTTCAGTATATAATTCAAAATTGTACAGACGACTCTGTTTTTAGTAGATGTCTCTTATGGATGTGTAAAGGGATTTGACTAGGTTAAACCTCCCTGCTGTGACGTGTCTGTTCTGATGGAATGGATCTTGTGTGAATATGTTCACAGAGAGCAAACAGTATCATCAGACACTTACATAGATAGTGACGGATAGCATTTAGAGTTAGTAATGTGAATTTGTAAAGTGATACTGTCAAAATAACAAGCATTGTAGTAATGAGAAGACATTATCCCTTTGTCTCAACGCATCTTGTTTAGATATTGTGCTTGTATACCTTATTGCCGTTATAACTGGAACTTATCTAATGTACTTAAGGAAATACGGGGCATGATAAATCCTGACTTTTAGGAGAGCATACAAGCAACTGTCGTTCGCGAATAGGTACCTCCGAACCCCACAAACATGATGACAATCCAGAATTCTTTGCAGCCTGTATTTTTATTGTGCGAGTTGTTTTTTTGTTTTGTTTTTGTGGTTTTTTGTGTGTGTGTGTGTGTGTGTGTGTGTGTGTGTTTGTTTGTTTGTTTTTTTAATGATCTTGTGGATGATCATTTTGTGGATGATCTTGGAGGCCATGCTGTTGATTTTCACAATAAACGGCAAAAGACTCCATGCGGCTTCATGGGGTTCTACATGCTGACTGTAGTGACAGGAAATTTCGATATATATGGACATTTCTTATGTTTGATGTTACTCGTCAAACGTTATATACTAGTAATCACTTTAAGATCAACATATTTACATGTAACAAAGCATGATACATATTATATCTTTTAACGTTTAAGACGTGTACGTATATGTGTATTCACTTGCAGAGTTGCTTCCCTGACAGGATCCTATGATCGTGTGTTGGAATCCCGGTAAGGCCTGATTATGTATTGATAAGGCCTGATTATGATTTTTAGGTTTTATCAGGACCATGCCCGTGGGATTATTGGTAAACATCTAATTTCTCCAACTTCAAGCTGATGTGATGTGTAAAAAATCATTTGATCGTTAAAACTATGTCTCGAGTCTTGATTTTCTGGTACGATGCCACACCTTGCTTCTCTTTAATAGGTTTGTTTGTTTGTTTGTTTGTTTGTTGTTTAACGCCTCACTCAGCAATATTCCAGCTATATGGCGGCGGTCTGTAAATAATCTGGACCAGACAATCCGGGGATCAGCAGCATGAGCATCGATTTACACAACTGGAATACGACGACATGTGTCAACCAAGTCAGCGTGCCTGACCACCCGATCTCGTTAGTCGCCTCTTACGACAAGCATGGGTTGCTAAATCATTTCCTTACGGGTCTCCTTAAAAGGCTCATATGAATAATATGTGTTAACTATGTGGACAATCCGTTATGACAAAAATTTAAGCACGTTTTGATTACGAGTAGTGTTTGTAATAAAGGTTTCACTAAGAAAGGCCTGTTTGAGTCACTTTGAGTCATGCCAGACCAGATAACTGACAAAGTCAGATGTAAGTCCAGTTTCCGACTGGTTGGAATTATGAATACGTATTTTCCCATAGAAACCAGGTAAGAAAGTAAATATCCCGTACATAAAAAACATGGTGACAGCAATGGAGATTTCTGTCGACTGCAGGATTTGCAGAGCACGTATGCCGACTGAACGGTGTAGACAGACATTTACCAAAGCTTTTCATGATTGTAATCAAGAAGCTCTAAGGATTTGATGTAGTCCGTAAGGTCAGACTTGTGTTATTACGATCAAGATTGGTGCGACCAGATCGTCAATCTTTTTAAGCAAATGCACGTGGCATGAACGCAAATGCCTCCTTCCACAAAATTATATTCATGTTAAGGTGATCGTAACTCCCACACAATTTCCGAACGTCGTAACGCGGATTACCGGTTCACGGATGCCTGGTATCAACACCGCCATGCTCAAGGTATGGAGGTTCCATTTCAAGAACATCTTCAGCCTTTTGATGAGGGACCATTCTCGGAAATGATGCATCTATTAACCTTTGAGAGTATAAATGTGGTGTCATTTATTGACACGAGCCCTTTCACTTCAACCATATAAGTTCAGAAGTATCTGACCTGCCTTCATGATACAACGTTACTATGCTGTGCAGCCAAGGAATCTGACGTGTACGGAGGACAGGTTTCTTTTTCGGAATTTGTCTACGATTCCTGCTTTTGCTCAAGATAGTCTGAAGTCGACATTAATGTTTCATCTAACCATTCATTTTCCTGTGACTGTCACCACTTTTTCTCTTTTGCCCTAAGACAAGCTTGCCTCCATTAATCAGTCTCATACTATGGGATTCGTCATGCAAGACAATGACAATTGTCCATCAGACGGTTGTCACATGAAGTTGATGAACTGGGTTAGCCAAGTGGTAAAAGCGTTCGCTCGTCACGCCAAAGTCCCGGGTTCGATTCCACACACTGACACATTGTGTGAGGCCCTCTGGTGTCCCCCGCTGTGATATTGCTGGAATATTGCTAAAAGTAGCGTAAAACTAAATTCACTCACTCGTTCATGCATTATGGATAAGACAAGGGTACCTAAATGTAACCTGACTTTGAGAAATACCTCCACGCTTGTCACCGATCTACAGCACTCACTCACTCACTCACTCACTCGTGTATCTGTTTGCTTTAGGCTGCGTCTGTGGAGACAACACTGTGAACTGTCAAATATTTTATTTCTTGAAATACGAATCACAGTCAACTAAGCCACGTCTTGCCATAAGGCGAAGCTTTAACCACAACCGTCAGGTCTTTATACCGTACAACCAATAATGGTTAACACATACAAAAGTATAAAAAATATCACACTTGTAAAACTGTGTATGTTCGTTAAAACGTCACTTCCTGTCACGTGATAAGGCACAACCTGTGATTCATACAGGTTGCAGCTTAAAGACACTCAAATACAACAATAGCAATGTAAGTTATTAATTCTTGAATAAATATAATCGAACATATTTACAGATGCTTGTATCATCTAATAAATTAAATATATTAACAATGTGCTGACTTTATCTTCATTACAAGTACCTGTGTGCTTTTGTGTGGTTTCTCCTATCCTTAGTCTTATCTCAGCGCTTAAATGTGGCCATGATATACAGAATAATAATAATAATAACAACAGTACTTTGATAGCGCCTCATCCACATCACTGAGGGACATGCTCTAAGCGCATACAAGTAACAGTTCATTGTTACCTCGGATATGCCTGTGAGGCGCTAGGAGGTTATAGTCACATTACTTATCCCACCGGGTACCCATTATCGGCTGGGTAAACAGGGGCAATTTTGAACAAACTCACTTGCCTAAGGTAGGACCAGAAATATAAGGTTCGAAGAACGGACAATGTATGATGGTTGCCCTATTTCGCTTTCGAAATGTGGATAACTCAAGGAATAGGGAAAACCTTCACAGTCATTTTGAGAGTTATCAAATGTGTTCAGACATGACAATGAATAAAACCCACCAACAACTTATTTCAAAAACAGCATGTTAGGACTTATAGCAAAACCAAATGCACGAAGATTGACGTGTTTCAAAAATGGGTTTCAGGAAGCTTTTGAACATATTTGACCTCACCAGGGCCCTTATTCTCGAAACGTTCGTAGACCTAAGATTTCTTAACTTTGATCGTAGCCAATGTCTTAAGAATGGGCTTAAGACGTTCGTAGGGCTACGAACGTTTCGAGAATAGCTAGCCAGACTGACTTAAAAGGTGGTGCATTATGGATAGATTTCATTTTAACACATAATATCCGTGCTGTTTTTTGTCATGCCATGGGTTCCAAATTCGCAAGCCAGTGAACGAAGAAATGGGTAGTTGTCGGCAATGTGAACATAATGTTTTTGCAGAACAATATGTCAGTTTTTCTGTCATTTTCAGTTTGACAGTTCCAGTAACATTAATCATTTCTTACAACAAAACAGCCCGTGTAACTCTGGGGCTTGGTCAACATAATAGCAATATGATTCACTGGCAATAATGGCACCAAATAGCAGAATAAGCTCGGGAAGTCATGACACATCAGGCATTATGGAAGAAATTATAATTTAAGCATTAACTGTTTAAGTGACCAAACTAAGTGTCAAAATAGATACAATGCCATTTACACATTTTGTAAAACATGAAAACTGTCGACAACAATTCAAATAATGGGTACGTGTAATATTTCGCAAAAATATCTTTCAAAGGAAGGAAATACTGGCGGTGGAGCAGTTATACGTGCCTTGAGGGAACTCAGTCTCAGGATTATTCTATCAGGATCATTTCGCTTTCAAACAAAAGGCATTGTGTGAATAGGACATGGCCACTCGTGTTCTGTTTCGGTATCCCTAGTCCTGAAGATGCATCATACATTTCAAACTTGCATCACAATACATTCGTTGTGACTAGCATTTGTTCGATGTTTGAATGTTCTGAGCTAAATATTCCAAGGTCGAGGATCCAAATATTTATTTACAAAAATACAAGTCCTGAAAGTATTTTAATATCTTTGTCGACCCGGATGTAAGGTTAAGATTTCGCTTCAGAATACGTTCAGAGCCTTCATTGTTTTAAAATACTTGTTCCTTCTCTTTGACAATGCTGAAAAAAATTATCATGTTGACATACACCTTTCACTCACTCACTCACTCACTCATTTATTCAATTTATAGAAAGAACTGGGGAACCTCCTGCGAAGGTGATGGGCTGTTATTAGAGTTTCTCAGAGATCCTTGTCTGAACACGGAAGAAAAAAGTCGTTTGATCCTCTTTCGCACTTTAGGATGGCTGATTGAGTACAGGATAGGGTTAGATACAGTAGAGGTTTTGGCCACAATGCTTGGAATGACTGCCGTCAGTGGTGTGATGACCGATTGGTCTCCAAATAGACCAATCAGAGCCACGATAACATACGGCATCCATGAAAGACAGAAAAAGAGGATGATGACGATAACAATGATGGTTGTTTTCACCTCGGCTTTGAAGAAGTACCGTTGTCTTCGAGTTCCTATTGATATTTCTGCAGAATGGCTTTGTAGTCCTCTCCGTATAGAAGCCATGGCTGTTAGTATTCTCGTATAGGAATATATGATGACACTGAGAGGAAGAACAAAGTTGCCCACGAGGATTGACAAAACAAAGGATCGGTTTTTCCACGTTTGGGTCAGGTAGTCAAATGTACAAGTTGTTCCAATTCTTTCCAGCATGTACTTACTCCAGCCAAACAACGGAGCGCACGCCCAGGCCCCGGAGTATACCCAGATGAGGATAATGCATATAATTGTCTTAGTTTTAGAAAGTCCATGACGGGGGTTAAGACGAGTCACCACTGCTGTAAATCTGTCCAGAGATATAGCAGCCAGAGTATTAATTGTAACCAAACCTGCGACACCAGTAGTGGCTCCATACATCAAACAAACTGAAAAAATAAAACAAAACATTTCATGATTATTCATTTCGACGGATTAACAATTCAGCATAAAGGCCACAGGTTACAAATATAATTAATAACATAAGAAAACCATGTTCTGCTCACAACGGAATACATTCAAAGTGAAATAGTGAAATCGATTTTGCAGGAATTATATCTTCTTTGCTGCATCTTGCGTTGAAAAAGGATCACCTGCCTTGTACAATATGTCGAATATTTTAGACGTAAGTTTTTCATGCAAATGTTGAACAGATGATAACTTTACAGGAATGCATTTTCCCAACTATGTATTTCAGAAATCAGAACACAAGAGGGAACTGATGTCCATTTTAAATGAGTAAGTGGTGTTGTCATGCCGTCTTCCTTATACATTTCATTCCTTATACGGTTCATTTAATCAGGTTTTAACCAAAGAATGGTACCTTGATTTGAGGCATGTTCTCACTGAAAAATGTTTTTCTTATCGAATGCAGACATTTGATATTCTACTTCAGTATCAACCCGAGATATTGTCTGCGTGGTGTTCAGTGACACCAACCGGTTCATCATTGACCAAATTGAGATTTACTGCTACGCCGCGATGAACATTTGATAAATTTATAAGCTCAGACTTGATAATCCTGTATGTTCGGACTGTCATTGGTATATCGTCATGGCTGAACGTGAGCGAGTGAGATTATTTTTTCGCCGCTTTTAGCAATATTCCAGCAACATTACGGCGGGGGACACCAGAAATGGGATTCACACATTGTACCCATGTGGGGAATCGAACCCGGATCTTCGGTGTGACGAGCGAGCGCTGAAAGCACTATTCTACCCCACCGCCCCCTTGGCTGTAAGTAACGTACATTTTGGAGATAAGTGATATCGATCCTTTGGTAAATACAAAACGTCGACGCAAAGAATAATCAGTCTCGAACGGTATTGAATTTTTGAAGTGGGCACTTGTTCGCTTGAAGCATGAGAACGTCGGCGGCGGGTCTGAGATCTGAGTGACAGATGAATGCGCCACTTTCATTTGAATGAAGTTTGTTTCATCATAGTAACGGGATGGATGAGGAATTCAACGCGAGTAAATGAGTACAATTTATAAGGAGCTGCAGACAATATAAGACATAGGTGATGGCGACCCGTAAAGAATGAAGTCTAGGTGAGGTATATTGTCAACAACTCACGCCTTTGCGTCACAACGCTACACAACGTAATGTATCCATCCAATCCACATTAGCCGGTTCGTATAACAAACTTGTGCCAACATTGATAAAGAGGCTCGTTGGACGTGTTATTCCATTAATCGAATCTAGGATGTCAATAGATTATTCACGATGCTTGGCCTTTAGCCCCGCGCCAATGCTCACTCATATTACCAAAGTGAGAAACAGTCCAGACTCTCTCGGGGCTATAATCTGACATCTACCTGCATTAGGGGCACGGGCGACTAACTCGCGTAAGCCCTGACAATTTCCACGGTTAAGTACATTAGACATGCCCGAAGCCAATAATCGTGAGATCGACTACCGGTTCTTTCTTTTCAAGTTTCTTTTTTCATCTGTGCACATGCACTTCCAACAGAAGCCAACATCTAAAGCTTCCACCCTTTTCGGCCTCTCTCTCACATCAAGATGGATAACTGAACAGCTGTTCAAAGTTCACTCAATCACTTACTAATCTACTCTAGCAAAATATCCATGGAATAATGCATCGGTATTACATGCCAACTGACTATCACACGCATTCGCGGCAAGAATTACCTGTAGAACCAAAGATCCACCTGGAAGAATAGCTGGAGGCAACAAACAGCGGAAAGTCCACTGAGCTCATAAGGAGGTCAGCAACAGCTAGATTGGTGATGAACAGATTGGAAGACGTCCTTAAACTTCGGAATCTGGAATAAAAATAAAGGCTTTTCAAAGAAATTCAGAGTGGTTGGGCTGTCCATGAGAATCAATACTGATAAAGCACATGGTAAACTCCAAATAAACGAGTGTTAAAAGCAGTGTGCGAAGGCGTTTGTAGCACAAAAATGAAACCATTAAGCAATAACCAACTCCCTTGACCAGAAAGTAAATATTGTTTGACTAAAAGTATTACTTAAGTAGTATTTCACTCCAAATGGAACAATACCTACAGAAGAAAAGTCCCGAACGCGCAAAGGGCTTGTGACAATATATGTGATCCCACCATGGTGACATTAAACAGATCATCTAACCCCATGACACATAATTGGATCTGCTGTAATGCAAAAGTCGAGACCATTAAGTCAGTAATAGCCGCCTAATGATGACGACTGAAGCTCTCTGAAGCAGAGTGACAGCAAGGAATATATCCTCGCACGTCCTCTCAATCATGCTGATTGTCACTATGTCCAAATTGGTTTCTATCCCGGCTATTTGGTCAGAGTTGTTAGACAGTTTTCCTGACGAGCTGCTTTAAATAGTTTCGAAACTTCTTTTATTGATAACAAGTCTTCTATTTGTAACCATAGCTGAGATGCATAAGCCGCCGAGAAAAGACAGGCCCCTGTGATGCAAGCGCGTTCAAGACAGGACCTTAATCGAATTAAATATGGCTCTTTTGTTCCTATGTTCAAATAGCATGTCTCATCAGTTTCGGTTGTAGTTGTAGTAGTTCTCTTTTGTTGACTGAATTATTAAGCATATTAAGAAATGATAATAATAATCGACTTGGAAACGCTTCCTGGGAGAGGTTACCGGGTTTGAATTGGCCTTCAGCAACCCATGCTTGTGGAAAGAGGCGACTAACGGAATCGGGTGATCAGGCTCGCGTATATAGGAGCAAGGGTTCCTGAGCTGATACCACCCTGACTGTGCCAGGACCACCTGACCTGTCTCTGCTGCGTACAAATGTTAATCAATAATACATTGTAAGTGTCTCGTTCCTTTATTACCGTCTTCGTTATGCTTGCGGTGGAGGGCATCATTGAAAATGACAGTTCTTCTTTGGAATAGGCACTGATAATGCTCAGAAGTACCAAAAACCTCTCGATGTCCTGACTTTAAGTACCTGGTAAGAGTACCCTAATTTGCTGCTGGGAACACAGCCGTTCTGCAGACGGCTGCAGTGTTGGGTAGTAACATAGGAAAGTTCTTTGTCGGTTCAACAATTCAGCCCTTCCTGGGTCCCATTCGTTGTTGGGGCTGTGTTTAAAAGCAAGGACCCTAAGCTGACAATCAGCCTAACCAGCCTTACGATGCCAAGTTTAACCGAACCCTCTTTGGTGTATTCATCTATATTAATCTGTAAGTGACAATCGTAATGCTAGATATTCTCCGAACAAATAAAGTTTTTGTTAAAAACAACGCGTGCTAATAATATACTGAGATGATCTAACAGACAGGGGAAAGTACTACCTTTGTCTCTTGACGTACGTAAGAACTGTCACTGTTAAAGCCAAATATACTCCATTGTCTACGTAATCCTTGTCCGCAGTCCATTTTCTTTCCCAAAACCACAATATAAGTATCGAAGAAGACTCATCACGATGACATTCATCTCCCATTACAAACTACAAGATGAGTTAGAGAACTGAGTTTGACAGGTCCTGAGCACAATGCCAGACTATCCATAGAAGAGGACAACGCTGAAAATGTCAGCTGCACACATTGTAGTCATGTGGGAAATCGAACCTGGGTCATTAGTGAGTCTAGCTAACATTTGATACATTTATAAGCTTAGACTTGATCATCCTGTATGTTCGGGTTGTCACTGGTATATCATCATGGCTGTAAGTGAGTGGGTGAGTCTAGTTTTACGCCGCTTTTAGCAATATTCCAGCATCACGACGGGGGACACCAGAAATGGGCTTCACACATTGTACCCAGGTGCGGAATCGAACCCGGATCTTCGGCTTGACAAGCGAACGATTTAACCACTAGGCTACCCCACAGCCCCCATGACTGTAAGTAACGTACATTATGGACATAAGTGATACGGTTTGTTAATACAAAACGTCGACTCAAAAAATAATTAGGCTCGATTATCTGCCGAAACTGATTCCATTGGATTAAAACGCAAATTAGTAATTAAACGTATATGGATTGATACAAATCCACCCATTAAGTCTATAGGAGTTCTGAAATCTTTGGCGAATGTGCCCAGATTATGATTGGCAGTCGTGGATTACAATACGTTGAAGGCAACATGCGTGATTTGATCACGTTCTGGAACTGATGTTGAGGAACATGAAATCGATCAACATGTACCTCCGCCTGAGGAACATGCCTTTGTGATGCCATTCAGAAATGGATTCAAGAAAAACACATGGATTAATAGTGACAGATCCCAGATATCAAACCAAAATAGTTTATGCAATGCCACTGATATGACGTCCGACCTTTTTTATTAATTTATTTTCTTAATTACCTGAAGCAAAAGACATTTTTACATTATACGATTCAATGAAACAAAGTCCTCATTCGAAAGTTTGATACCAGTTTCGCAAAGATAATTTTCATGACAATTTGAAAATAAGAAAAATATAATGAATACTATCTGACGCTCAACATCACGGAAAAGTTTTGACGTTAATGCTTCAGAAGGACCATGGGCCAAATGAAATATTTCCGCCACAAGTAATTTACAGTAGTGTAATGGTTAAGTGCTTTGAGGACCAGGGAATCGCCAACAAGATATATATGGTTTTCGTTGGACGCTTTACATTACTTACAGTCCTCAAGTATTTCAATTAATCCAAATATACTTAATCAGTTATACCCATGCATGTCTGAAACTCGTGTATATTGTAACGGTATCAAGTCCTTTAGAATCATGTGTACACATATCTTCAAGATTTCTTATAAACACGAGAGAATTTGCATCCCATCATAAATACATGTCATCCCTGTAGCAGAGCGCTGGTGGCGCATTTAGTCAAGGTCGCTTGCTCGACGAAAAGCCCTTGTTTGTAAACTTGGTGCCATCAATACTGCTCATGGTAATACTTGCTCTGTCAGCACGATCTATGTACTCTTTGGTTTAACCTAAATTGTAAATGTCTACAACCTGCATCAATGCTGTTTGATTGTCTAACGCTGACGCTGATGCATCGTGATATACTCTTCCAATCAACTCGCATCGTGATCTATTCTTCCAATCAACTCGCCCACCAATCACAACAATCAGAACAAGTCCAACGAAATTGAAGTCAGAACTCATACAAACACTGGAGGTTATTAAATTCAATTTGCCGCTAATGGCATTTTACGCTTCATAAAATCTTCTCCGAGACACGTTATGAGACTGCTAACTCACTGGCGTATCTAGTTAACCGCATTAAACCGTGTTGCATAAATTGTTTAACTTCCTCAATAAAAAGTGTTCTTAAACTTCTAACTGTCTAGCGTATCTAGTTAGCTTCCTCATTCAAGCTTGCTCTTTAACTGATTTAACTGCCTTATTAAAAGGTGTTCTTTAGCTGTTGACTGTCTGGCGTATCTAGTAGCCTCCTCATTAAACTGTGTTCGTTAACTGGTTTAACCTCCTCATTAAAATGTGTTCTTAAACTGGGTTAACCTCCTCTTTAAAACTTAAACTGCTACCTCTTTCATCAAACCTCCAAATTAAACAGTGTTCTTTAACTGGTTTCCCTACTGATGACGTATCTAGTTACCCACTTCATTAAACAGTGTACAATGTTTTCCATTCCCAGGAACAGTTTAGTCACCACTTGTCGCAGTTCTATTTTCATCGAGTATCTTCCATGGAGGTTCCAAATTGAGGACAGCTAAGTATTTCCTACCAGAAAAGCGTGTCACTGACCGCTTACGACTGATGCTTTCATGACGCAAATTCATCCCAACCCATCCCAGAGCAGCAAGAGCCATTAGTGTAATGTCGGACATTTCAAGGGAAATAAAGCGAAAGCCTCCGATGTGATTCGCAGACGCATCAAAGGTACGCATTACTCTGTAATCATGCAGTAATCTACTTAAACATTTACATAGCTTACACAATATACAACCTCATCATCCCATAATCTACCAAAGGCAACAGCTCTGAAAGAGCATTTTATATAGCATATCAATGTAGACATCAGATCTTTTCACAATGAATCACATTTGATTATTGAATTTATTTCTCGTGTGTAGCTCATCAACCCGTGTAGAGACACGTGTGCACATATTGATCCCTCACAAACTGAACATTTGTGTAAAATGATATGCGTAAAGTGGGAATAATAATATATATATATTTAATCAAACTCACAGGTTCGTTAAGTTCAACCAGCACTTTTAAATCGTTCACACTGCCATGAACTAATCCAAATTGACGATGAATTCTTGTAATTGTTATACTTTGTAGTTTAACGGCCTCGAGAACGAAAATCTGAAAAACGATCTCTTACTTTGAAATTCTCTGGGTTCGCTGCAAAACATACAACAATGACAATTTATCTGCATTTACCGGCCTTCAGTCACGAAGGTTTTTACAGAGCTGCATTTCGAGTCGAACTGGACGGATTTACTGTTTCAAGTGGTTTTATTTGTACACTTATTGAAAACACCTTTAGGCACGAAACCGGCAATTGCACTAGAATATTAGGAAGGGGAATGATTTATGGAAATACCGGTCACGGGTGTTACTTGTGTTTTCATGATCGCAAACCAGTTTGGACGAATTGAACGGAGCGCTTTGGAACTTGTGTGTTTTGTGTTTCTACATTAGGGTGTGTTATGTTTGAAGTTTTAGATTTTTCTTTGCGCGTCATTTATTAAATTAATCCTAATATTGTTGAATGGGGGAATACAAATGAAAAAGATAAAGCAGAAAGTTGAGATGCCACGAGTTAAAGGAAACCCCAGACAGTAGTTCCAACACGATCATTTTCACAAATTGTTTAAATCCGTTTATAAGATTACCCATCCAATACGCCAATAAGCATGGAAACATAAAGTTTGAAATTATATAAATCCGTAATATGTTCTCACACAATATCTAGCAAATGTACATTCATATCACTGTAAATGTAGCATTTTGAGGAATCCTTATTGACGATTTTACCGGCAGGAAATGATACAGACAACTCTGTATCAGTTTCACTCTTGAAGGTCACAAAGACACGTGTAGAAAATGAGACGGAATTTCCAATACTGCAATGGCTATAAAATCTATGCCACAGCAACTTATACATCATACTTATTGGGATACTTGCGAGCATTTAATTGATGATGCTGACATCAACAAACATTGTTCCAGACAAAAAAGGTCAAGGGTAGATCATACAGGTCATTAGTGTCAATAATTTCATCTGTACTTCTCTTTGGGAGTTCTGAAAAGCGAGGGGGAAAGAGAGTTCAACATCGTAATCAATTCCTCGCGATTGCTCATCTCATAAACTAACATTTATACTCCACTGATACACATATATCGACTCCGTGTCTATCGGTCCTTGTTTTGTTCACTAAATATCAAACACAAGGCAGGGAAGCAACATTTTTTATCTTGAAACGTCTTTCTGTATGACGCGGTTCCGTTCTCAGACGCTTTTCCACAGGAGAAAAAGTTTCAAGTTTTGATTATCACTTTTTACTGATTTGTACTGCCTATGATGATCTACGTAAACGTTTTATTCCTGTCGATGTTTTCACCCATCCAACCTTGTGTACATTTAATCGACTGATGAGTAATGCTACTCCTCTTGTGTTAAGAAATCTTGCCATGTTTATCTTCTATGCTAACAATCGTCGTCGCTACAGCTTAAAGGCTGCCAATGTATAACGTTGTACGATGGGCCGATGGCCTCCATCTACATGAATAAATACTAAAGAGATAGATTAAATGTGGGGGTGTTTTATCATTTAAAACATCCAAAACTCAACAACATCCTTTCCATATGAACAAGGTAAAAGGACGTCCTCAGGCAGATCATTCTTGACAAATTTCAACTTCATCGATCCTGCAAATTCAGACAAGATCTTTCCAGAGAGCCCATGACACATTCGTAACTCGTAATAGTGATTCCAATCTCTGGCTTAGGCTTAAGATCAGTTTCAACGCATCCGGAGTCTTTAATAAGCCCGTTCATGTGTTTTTGTTAATGAGAATATGTCCATGGACGCAGATGGACAATTGACCTAACCGGCACTCGTGAAGAGCAACCTCCTCATGTTGAGTGCAGGGTAGCGCTAATAGCTCTTCACCCGTGTGGACCCGGGGCACAATAGGTCCACAACACCCCATTGCTGGTCGTAAAAGGCGATCGAATTGGGCAACCTGTTTGCCGTGGGTTGCGCCCCTGTGTCGGTGGAGGACAGGAGTCTGGTTGTTGAGGGCAATGGTTCCAGGAATAGCGTTCCTTTGCCCAACACAGCCAGCGACCGTTTCTTCACCTAGACGGGTGGTGAAATGGACCCGGTTCTATCAATCGGCTGGTCATGCCAAGCCCTTTGCATGGTAAGTATTTTACACACATCGACTGAAATCATAAAGTATTAATTCATCAATTTGCCAAGAGTCATATGCCAGTAAGCGGTGACTCATGAGCCAATCTGGTAGGACATATCTTTTCAAGATGTTCTCCTGCTTGCGTATACCCTCCTGGTATCCTTGGTGCAGTCACGTGCAAACTATCCAGGAGTCATCCATCGTCTACCAGAGAATGCCCTACATGGGAGTGCCTTGTTTCAACAGTCAAACAAGACCGCAATATCAATTTTTCAGAAGCGAAGAAATATGTTCTGGCTCATGAAAAATCAGGCAGCTTGCCAGTCCGAATACACGTGGCTTGAGCCCTCTACTCCAACCCAGGGTACACCTCATCAACAATCGCCGTTCAACGTTGCGAATGGCTCCAGCATCGGTACCACAACTATCCCCTATTGTGAAGAAGACCAACAAAAAACTTGATAATTCTAATCACTCAGATCGTATACCAAAGGGTCTTTGTTGGTTACCCAGTCATGTTGGAATAACTGTTAACACAGAGGCCGATTCTGCTGCTATAGGTAACTCTCAACACATCTTTGACACCACTTCTGATACCTTATAGTGATTATAAACCTATGATTAGATATCATATCGTGATCTAATGCAAAAGAAGTGGGACACCCAAGTAGGTGTAAATATATTACATGAAATGAAACCAACTACTTGGGTTGTCAGTCCAGATTTGAGGAGGTCGTCATACAACGATGTTGTATTGGCCATTCTAGATATACACATGAACATTTATTTAAAGGTGAAGATCCTCCATTATGCATCCCTTGTGTTGAGAGAATCACTCTCGTGCATGGCCTGCTTGACTGTATTGATGTTTTTCCAATACAAGGGATCAACATTTCAAATCAGCATCTATGAAGGATCAGTTTACTAATACTGGTTGTCATTTAATAATTGAAGTTTTTAAAAGTAATTGATTTTAATGATAGATTTTGATTATGCAATATAATTGATAAGTTAATTTTGAAGTTGGTCGGAAGAACAAATAATTTTGATTGTTAGTGACTGTACCTTCAAAGGGAGTTGAAGTAACGTACCCCTGAGTGGGTATGTAAGTCTCATTTCGTTCAAAGTATTTTAATCGCAGAATATGTGTTATTTTAATGTTTGGCTAATTGGAGTACAATCGCCAACGGCTGAAGGGACAGTGTAAATCCAGTCAATCAGTCACAATATGGCTGAAATAGTGCCGATGTGACTTGAATTAAACTCACTCACTCACCACAACTGACCTCACCTCCCTCTAATTTCAATCAGGTGAGCGAAACATTCATGAAATATATGCTGCGTTTATTTAGGTCTTATCGGGGCGTCGGGGTAGCCTAGCGGGTAAAGCGATTCCTCACATGGGTACGATGTGTAAAGCCAATTGTCTTGTCCCGCGCGATGAATGTGCATCTTTGATCCGTCACGTACCCCCACTCCCATTTGTATTGCTTATAAACATGAAATCAGACCAGTAATGGCGTTCCAAACACGTGCTCATCTGATCCCTTTAAAACATGTCCGGTAGGGCAGCCAAATGATATGTTTCCTCTGCCATTTCAGTATATATATATAAAAAATATGCTTTATGAAATAAATACACTGCAATTTTTTGGTATGATTAACAATAACACAACATCGCCTTTCAAGAAGAACTAACTTCATCCACTATTGATTTACCATCATGGTAATTATTGAGCAGTGAGAAGGAAGACAGTCGTTCGTTTTTGCCTTTACAGGTTATTACATTTCCTTTTCTCCCTCGCTGCTTTCACGACATTTTCAATGGATCCTTATACAAAACATGACCAAATTGATAAACTTCGATTGGCCATAATTATATCTGAAACAAAGCAATTGTTTTTACTCCTGCAAGAATCCCTACCACAACCTGATGAAAACGAGATGAGGTTTTGAAGTTGTTATGGTTGCCAGAACCAGCAAAGCAAGTAGTAACGAGGAACTAACGAACACCTACCCATGTATACATACCACTGCAGTATGTATGTATTACAAAATACTGGTAGCTGTAATAGTCGGTAAAGAAACAGCATTTTAGCATTCAAGAAGAGAAGATGTCGTGTATCAGACGACTGTTTGAGAGTTTACTTGTTCACTTAAACACTTACAAGTATTCTTTCTTCGAGGTAATTATGCCAATCATGTACGGATTCCAACTCCTTGTCCTTGGTACGGAATGAAATGCTATCCACAATTAGGCTAGCGATACATTTCATGCAGCGTGTCATCATCAAAAGTGAACAGCGTGCAAAGTGTTGTAATAGTGAATGATTCTTTTAAGGTTGCCAAAATGCCTCGTCATCTAATTAGTGACGCGCATGAATGGATTAACAAAATTCCCACTGCAACCTCAAGGGGATTCCGGTAAAGAACTGAACCCCAGTAACCTATGCTTTTTGTGTGAGGTGCGAGATGTCAGGTCATGGAGTACTCAAGCCAAGGTTAATTGAATGCCATCACTACCCGATGGCCAACTGCTTATACCATGGAACATGTTGAAAATTATTGAATAAGTCTTAAACAGAAAAACAACAATCTTTTGACAGCCTACATGAATACCAATCCAAATCTGAAATGCACATGCTATCACTAGCCGTTTCTTACTGCCAACAAATTGCAAAGATTTTATCATCATCACGTCTCAAATTGATACATTATTGTTAAAAATCAAAACTGCCTTTTGTTGAATCCTTTTGGTCCAACTGAAATATCGACGTGTGATTACTATTATATATTATTCTGAAAAAGAACATGGTTCGTATAAAGCAATAATTAATTCTTACCTTATATAAGTCATTATGACAAGCATGTTGCTGAGGATGGATGCTGATAATGCCACCAACATAAAAGTCCCAATGAAAACATGCGGAACAGTTGACAATACTTCATCCTCAACCAAATACTCATCATCATTACTAGATGTCTTTAAAACACGCTGCACTGTTCCATTGACCGTCCATTGATCAAGGACATGCATTGTTCAGTGCTTAAGTAACCAAATGTATCTGGACATTGAGTCATACAGCACGATTTGGAAAGTTGACCACTTTGACGTGTGTGGTCACTGGTATGCATTGCCATTAAGGACAGTGCCAAGTGCAAGCCGCCATGGGAAAATGTGGATGTTTCAACAGCCTACGCCGATCTAGAGAGTAGCCAGTCGTATTGATTAGAACTGAATGAGGTACAACGTTGCTGCGTACCATCATATTCAGAAAGGAATCGGCATGAGAAGCCGAACAATCCTTTGCATTAAGTTAATACTTTGCATGCAAGTATACAAAACGTACTTTGGATTAATTTTTTACTAAGGACATATCATTTCAAGAATATTTCTATAAACAGAAATAACGTATTGATAACATGTCAAGATTAACACAAAACGTTATACACCACACATGACGTCGTAAAAAGAAATTCTCTTCTTTTATCATTGTATCAGTTATAGTTATGTGTTGTGTATTATCACTGCTTGACACAAAAACCAACAAATGCATCTTGAATACTCCAAAACAGGCAGACGTATTTTTCAATTATTTCTCTAATGGATGGCAAATGTTTTGAACATTATATTATGCATATAAGCAAGAATATGTTAGTATGTCTTGCAAGCATGAGCTTGACAACCGAATATGAATATATACCGAAACGTCGCATCATTATATAATAACGAAATGGTAATCCATAAAGTATCCTCCAATAATTATTACTCATAAACTTCTAAAATGCCAATCAAACAGATAATTGCTTTCATGATTTATTATCTTTGAGCAGTAACTACGTAAACCTGTCTATGTGTGTATTGTTTAACACATATCTCTGAAAGCCTAACCCGGTATATACCCGGTTCCCGTTTGTCAACATTTTTATGCAAATGAACGATAAACGACCATCCTTCGTGGTAGCGGTACATATTGATTAACTGTAAGGCTAACATAGCATACCATGCATTTAACTCTGAAGTCATATTATAGGCCCATTAGTTATGACGTCACATATGGACGTCGTCATTTCCCTTGGTAGTTTTTTGCCATCCGTGATTAACTCACTGTTTTCAACTTTGTGCTAAATTTATGACCACGTGAAAATGTAACCTGTAGGTACAGACATAACATTATTTCGTTCATCACATGAATATGTAATCTGTAGGTACAGACATCACATATATTTCTTCATTCTCACGAATATGTAGCCTGCAGGTACAGACATCACATTTATTTCTTCATTCTCATGAATATGTAATCTGTAGGTACAGACATTACATTTATTTCGTCATTCTCACGAATATGTAATCTGTAGGTACCGACATCACATTTATTTCTTCATTGTCACACATATGTAATCTGCAGGTACAGACATTACGTGTATTCGTGCATGCCATGAATATGTAATATGTAGGTACAGACATCACATGTATTTCTTCATTCTCATGAATATGTAATCTGTAGGTACAGACATCACATGTATTTCTTCATTCTCATGAATATGTAATCTGTAGGTACAGACATCACGTGTATTTCGTTCATTCTCACGAATATGTAATCTGTAGGTACAGACATCATGTGTATTTCGTGCATGACATGAATATGTAATCTGTAGGTACAGACATCACATATATTTCTTCATTCTCACGAATATGTAGCCTGCAGGTACAGACATCACATTTATTTCTTCATTCTCATGAATATGTAATCTGTAGGTACAGACATCAGGAGTATTTCTTCATTCTCACGAATATGTAATCTGTAGGTACAGACATCACGTGTATTTCGTGCATGCCATGAATATGTAATCTGTAGGTACAGACATCACATTTATTTCTTCATTCTCATGAATATGTAGTCTGCACGTACAGACATCACGTATGTTTCGTGCATGCCATGAATATGTAATCTGCAGGTACAGACATCACATGTCTTTCTTCATTCTCATGAATATGTAATCTGGCCCATTAGTTATGACGTCACATATGGACGTCGTCATTTCCCTTGGTAGTTTTTTGCCATCCGTGATTAACTCACTGTTTTCAACTTTGTGCTAAATTTATGACCACGTGAAAATGTAACCTGTAGGTACAGACATGACATTATTTCGTTCATCACATGAATATGTAATCTGTAGGTACAGACATCACGTGTATTTCTTCATTCTCACGAATATGTAATCTGTAGGTACCGACATCACATTTATTTCTTCATTCTCACACATATGTAACCTGTAGGTACAGACATCACTTGTATTTCGTGCATGCCATGAATATGTAAGCTGTGGGTACAGACATCACGAGTATGTCTTGCATGCCATGAATATCTTTCCTGTAGGTACAGACATCACGAGTATTTTTTGCATGGCATAAATATGTAATCTGTAGGTTCAGACATCACGAGTATTTTTGCATGCAATGAATATGTAACCTATAGGTACAGAAAACACGTGTATTTCGTGCATTCCATGAATATGTAACCTGTTGGTACAGACATCACTTGTATTTCGTTCATCACATGAACCTGTAACCGGAGGAACAAACATCACATTTATTTCTTGCACCTCATGAATATGTAACCTGTAGGTATAGACATCACGTGTATTACGTGCATGCCATGAATATGTAACCTATAAGTACAGACATCACTTGCATTTCGTTCATCACATGAATTTGTAACCTATAGGTACAAACATCACATATATTTCTTGCATCTCATGATTATGTAACCTGTAGGTACAGACATCACATTATTTCGTTCATCACATGAATATGTAACCTGTAGGTATAGACATCACATATATTTCTTGCATCTCATGACAAATGTGTAACCTGTGCATGTTATTTTATAGTTTATTTCATCAGATTGTTATTTAACAAGCACCTTAAAATACACATAGACGTATCTGTGATTTGTATAGATGAATTCACTTAAGTTTCACCGCTATTAGTCTTTATGTTAACGTCTTTTTTCAATTGCTGGGAACTTTTTCACGATGATTTCTTAAAATGAACCTGGTAAATTATCTATATCAAATACCTGTTTCCTTCTATCACTAAAAGGATCACAAGGGACTGGTGGACGCATATGAACTACAATCTGAAGCACAGAATATGGTCGAACATATTCTCCTACCTATTTCGCAGGTTTTGTGTTCAGATAACTCTTCAACCCAGAAGTACGTTCTTCTCTACATTTATTGATTAAAACACATTGGGTTGTGTACCATGGAGCCATGGTAATTTATCAACAGTTCTGAAAACGCGAGGAGAGGTGACGTCAAAGTGGATTTAAAGAGGTGTTTGGTGTTATTTACGTATACATGTATATCGATGAGCATGTAGTACCGAGCCGGATTTAACACAGTTTTATGGTACATCATCACGCAGTTGAACATGAACACTCCCTACTAGCTATAGACAGGAAACCATATTCTATAACATTCTGCTATAGATCATCCGGTTTGAACTAATGCATGCATCAGTGTACTAAGGTGTATTTCTAGATGATAAAGTTATTCGCCATACCCTAAGAATACTACGTTAGTCATGTTCTGTTAATGTATTTTATATTAATTAACTTCGAACTAACGAGCATATAAGAAATCTGAACATTCAGTATTTGTTCTGTATAATGCACTTATTGGTATCGAGCTTTTTGCTGATGTACGCTGAATTTGGACCACAGACAATTATTTTTTTAGAATCCTTTGTATCAAATGTGGCTAGCGGTTCATGGGGTGGGGGTAGCCTTGTGGTGTAAGACTTATGACATGCTGAAGGCCCGGGTTCGATTCCCCACATGTGTGAAGCCCATTTCCCCTCAGTGATATTGCTGGAATATTGCTGAAAGCGACATAAAACAAAACTCGCGCACTCACAATTCACACGTATATCAAACTGGAGGCATTATCATTGAACATGAGAACTTCTACTGAAGATCTGGTTTGATATTATGAATGTTTAGGCTTGACTGTATGGAACATATACTGATTAGAAATAAGACCGCAGTAACATAAGCAGACACAAGCTAATATACCTCGACATGTGAGTCGGATTAGCTTGTTAAACCCATTTTTATTTCACTTCGCTAACTAATGGTTAAGTTGTTTTTACATAGATATCCAATTCAGTATTTAACAGAGTCCTAATCAAAGTAAGATGAGAATGATACTAATAACTTAGTCTCTAAAGCAAGGAGTATATTGTTCTTGTATGGCCTTTTGGTGTATAATTTTATATCGACAAAAGATACCCCCAAGCTTCTAAAGCATGTGATGAGTCAAGCCATGTTTCGGAATGGTAATGTATTAGGATTTCCTACTGCATTTAGAAAGCTTCGTTGAGAAAATGTATGTTTAACTGCCTCAATAAATATAACACTCAGAAGAACGTTTTATCGCATAAGACTTTCCTTACACCAGTTAATTAATGGAACACGTGGAGATAAGTAGTCAAATTCTGAAGGAATTAACCACCTAGAAATACAAAGATAAATTATATGTTCCAGAATTATCAACAACGATACATAATAAAGTATTTCTCTCAATTTCCGAGTCTCTGAAGAAATACATTTTCTTAAAACTGTATTTTCAAAAAGGTAAATATGTATTACAAAGCCTTGTTTCGATATATTGTGTACTATTTACCATACGTCTTTAAATACCGAATAGACTGGTATATTGTACCGCCTTTTCGACATTTTCTCCAAATCTTCTCTTGGTGTCTCCAAATGAAATAATTGCCCGACCGTCTGACCAAGACCCGATTATCCCCAGACTGAATGTATAAACAGATAAAATCTAGCTGATTACGACGTTAAACAACAGCAAATATATTCCCAAGACAGTAATTTCCAATGTGTTCAATCTTAAGTACGAAGAACACACGGATGCGTTTAAAGATGATTTATGAGCCAAGAGTTGGGCGATTGATTTCTTCGTAGTCTTCATTATATTGGGCTCCAGAAATCTATCTTCATTTGAAGTCGAGAG